ATAAAAAATGATCTACTTGATGCATTTGAGAGTAAAATCTTTCCCTCCCCTTCACCCTGCTTAAATATGTTCTCTTTTGCAAGTAAATCTTTAAAGCAATTTGAAGCTGATCTTTTGTTATCTATCAATTTTATATTGCCAAATCAACAACTTGTGTTTTCCAAATTCCCAATATGTCAAGGGCATAAGGGGAAAAAAATTCTTATTAGGTATTCAGATCAACTCTTCCACATCCAGTTTTATTCTACTGTAGTCAAAGCAAAATTTCTGTTAAAGGAAATGTTAAAAATTGCAGGACATAATTCTGGAACAGTACAGGAACCACAATATTCAGAGGAAGGTACCTGAACATCCAGTCTTACAAAGAGTAAATACCACAAACTGCTCTCCTTCAGTATCAGATGACCAGTTTTCTGCTGCCTATCACAATTGAACTTGAGAACTGAAAAGGGAAATCATAATTTATCAAACTAAGAGGAGCATAATTGGTAAGAAGTTACATAATAACAGAGAAAAAACAAGAGAAAAAAAAAGGCAGATGACCAAAGCCCAATCCTACAGACATGAAGAAAATAAAGAAGTAATTTGAGAGACTGAATTATTGGCATTCTCGCACACTAAGGGGACCAGCTTTTCAACTATTTTTAATCAGAGAAGAATTTTACACAGTAAGTTTAAATAAAAAGAATATGAAACATAAGAAAACTATTATAAACATTGTTATCAGCTGTGGACAGAGTAATTTAAATAGCATTCAGTGATGCAGGTGAAGGCTGTCTGGTAGCTCATCCCTTTCATATTTCATTTCTCAGATAATTTCAAAGATCCAATGGTCTATCCTTGTCATGTCACAGGCTTTAGTCCTTTCCTGAAATATTGAAGGAATTGCTGCTGTCCTGTCTCTATTTGACTCTTAAGGGTTATTGACTTTGGTTCTGCCTAAGGGTTCTTTCTTCTAAGACAAAACCTCAAGATCTCTTGGTGCTTTCTTGCCTGCTAGCAAGGGGTACTGCCAGTTTTGCATGCTCATGCTTTGTGACTGTAGTCTAATTAATCTCCAGCTGTGTAGAGCTTGTTTTGCCCACACAGACATTCAAGAGACAAGCTTTGTTCTAAACACGGCTATGGGATTTGCTAGGTGAAAAGAACTTCTGTTTTGATTTAAATATCTCATTTCTTCTGTTCTGTTTCAAACTCTGGGGCGTGCCTCATTTTCAAATGGAGATTTTCATTATGTCTAAGAACATAATTAATTCTGAAGCTGTATACACTTCACTTAATTTGAAAGGTTTGGACTTTTCCATAAATCATGGAAGACAAATGGTTCCTCAGCTGTTACAAAACAGGAAACAAAATCAAACCCTGCACTGACTACTATGACTTTACTCTAAATACCCTCAAAGGGGCACAGTGACTGAAATTTCAGACCCATTAATTTTAAAGTGTACCAAAAGAAAATATTGATCAAACAGACCAGCAAAATGCAGCCACTTGTAAACTGACCAGCCAAAGATATGCACAGAAAGAGTTCTATTTGCTAGGACAATCTGAAACATTTGTCATTCATACCAGAAGCAGAATCTGGTCAGAATTCAAGGCTATATACTTAGTACTGATATCAGATCAATATCACTAGAGTCCAATGAAGATGAAAGCCTCTTACTGAAAACATAAATTACCCCTTAACATCAAGATCTCAAGTTATATTAAAACAGCACTCTTATCTTCTACCTTCAGTCCAAATGGCATTTCAAGAATAGTTCACATGAAACACAATTTAAGCAGGGAATCGGAGACTGAAACATCAATCCATTAGGTTTCCTATTTCTCAGGAAGTTTTAGGAGGGAAGAAGTTCAAATTTCACTCAATCTCTTGCAGATGAAGATATCACAATGACATCCCCTCTAATTTCAATTTCTTTCCCTATTTGTCTTGAGGGGTTGTAAAGTCTTTTTCCAGTGTAAAGCCTGAAATACAAATGATTCTCTATGGCATTGTTGGATTCATAGAACTATAGAATATCTGAAGTTGAAAGGATCATCAAGTCCAACTCCCTGTTTCTCACAGGACTACCTAAAACTATATCATGTGACTAACAGCATCATCCAGATGCTCCTTGAACTCTCTCAGGCTTAGGGCCATGGCCATTTCCCTGGAGAAGCCCATGGCAGTGACCAACCACCCACTGGGTGAGCAACCTCCAATCTGAAGTTCCCCTGGTGCAGCTTTATTCCATTTCCCTGTGTCTTGTTGCTGGCCACTAGAGAGAAGAAATCAGCACCTTCCCCTTTGCGGTCCCCAGAAGGAAGTCCTAGACTGCAATGGGGTGGCCCCAGCCTTTCCTTCTCCAAGTTGAGCAAACCAAGTGACCATAGATGCTTCTAATAAGTCTTGCTCTTAGGACCTTTCACCATGTTGGTTGCCTGTGGACAGAGTCTAATAGGTCAATGTGCTTCTTTTGAGGTCCCCAAAACTGCACTCAGCACTCGAGGTGGGGCTGCAGTGTAGAGTGGGACAATAATCTCCCTCAACCAACCAATGATGCTGTGCCTGATGCACCCCAGGACACAGCTGGCTCTTTTGGTTACCAGGGCACTGCATATTGAATTTGCCACTGACCCAGTTGCCAGATCTCATTCTGCAGGGCTGCTCTCCAGACTCTTCCTCTGATTTGTACATACTACCACACCGACCTGTCCCCAGTGGAGAATCCTGCACTTGCTCTTGTGGTTCAAGTTGCAGAAGTTTGTGGAGGACTGTTGCCTGTGGGATGGACTCACAAAGGAGAAGTTCATAGAGAACCATCTCCCTTGGGAGGGACCGCACACTGGATCGGGGGAAGGATTCCTCTCCCTGAGCAGTGGCAGAAACAACCCAGGATAGCCTGGTCATAACCCTCATTCCCTGTCTCCATGCGCTGCTGGATGTGGGGAGGTGGAGCTGGAAATGAGAGAGGGATGGAGGAGTGTGTTTTTAAGATTTATTTTACCTCTCATTATCCTGCCCTGATTTTTTTAGTAATAAGTTCAGTTAATACCCACAGTTTGAGTCTGTTTTGCCCATGATGGTATTTGGGGAATGATCTCTTCCAGTCCTGATCTCAACCCATTAAATGCTCTTTATATTTTCTCTCTCCTGTCCAGGTGTGGGGGGGATTGACAGAGAAACTTTGGTGGGTACTGGACATCTGGCCAGGATCAAGCCCACTACACTGATCATGCTGTGTATGTTAGCATAAAGGCATTTTAAATGTGCTCAGAACATCATTGAGCAGACTGATGGACCTGCTAGCACATCATCCCACAAACATTGGCATGCTACCCTCAGGCTTTTCACTAGTGAACCTGGTTTTATCCCTTTCTCACTTCAAATCTAGTTTAAAGCTCTTTTAATGACATCTATCAACTATTGGGCAAAGATCCTTTTTCCCCTTCAAGAAAGGATTATCACTAAAGCATCAGCAAAGCAACATTACAGAAGTTCCATGAGAGCCTGCCCACATTGCAGGTACAAAAATGCAACCAAGATGCCTTAAACACAGTAAAGGACTGACACCGGGTCCTCTGGATCTCAGACCAGATCCAACCATGAGCAAGCTCTTCCTGTCTTTTGTTTACAGTAAAGTATCTAAGACAAATTGGTGTAATTTTTTGTGAAGACTACTGGGCCCTTACTAAAAAAAGCCCCATAAACTCATTTCTACAAGATAATAGAAAACCAAATTAGGTCTGGAAAAGCTAGGTTGTTGAAAAGTAGATTATAAGCTGAAAACTATCCCATCTATAAATGTAGGAGGCAAGGCCTCCCTTTCTTGTATCAAACCTTTCTTCTGTGACAACTTTGTGAATTGTAGCAGTAGATTCTCTGAACTGTTTTAATGAATGAATGCCAGGGTGCCGGAGGGAACTCATCAGCAACAAAAGGAAGGTATCTCCCAGGCACATTTGAAAGCCTAACCTAGTATTCAACCAGCCAAAATATCTATACTGAGCAAAGAAAAATATTTCCCCATTAAATGATATTTTATGGTTTTTCGGTGTCTCATGAGATGTGGAAATAGATCCTTATGAAAACTTTTGCATCAAAAATCCCATTTTATTTTCTACCAGTGTGATTTTCCATTGTTACTTTTTTTGCACTCTGCATACATTAAGGCACATTAATAAAGGGAAGAAGCAAGGCAGTCTGTCAGATATTTCAAAACATACCATGGGAAATGATTGGTTTAGGATGAGTGAATAAAATCTGTTTGTTCAGCAAACTTAATTTTAGCTGAGAACCAAGAAATGTGTGTATAGCATGGATATATGATAAGTTAACTGGGCTCAAAAATACACCATATAGCTGGGCTTTTGGGACTGCAGAAAATGTTTTGATGCTTCATGGCTCAACTTTCAACACGAAGGAGAAAGCATTACAGTTATTCTGAGAGATGACACGTTTTTAGTTTGCACATTCTCTTGGACTTCTGAAATGCTGGGAACAAAAGCATCCATAGTTAAAGCTTCAGGGTAGGAAGAGAGTCTCCACAAGTGCAGTAGCTAAGGTGAGATTGAAAGAACCCCAAAAAACATGATTATGTACTTTTAAAAATTCAACTATTAGCTCTCCTTGTGAAAGAACATTTTACTCTGCTAAATTGTTATAGGGCTTATAAACTGGCATTTTCAGGATTTAATTCCTATAAAGAATTTTAATTCCTATAAATTTCTTGGAAAGTTACTGTAAATTCATTATTTGTATTCTCTTACAGGTCCACAGGAAAACAAGAAAACCCCTGTAAGATACAGCATCCAAATTCTCTCTCACACAAGGATGGGAATTGAAACTCAGCACAGTTTAAAAAGCTCAGAAAAGATATTCAAGGGATGCTGTATGAAGAGTCAGACAACAACAAAGGTTTGTGCTCCCCTTCCCTACCAGTTTGCTGCCATGCATTCCAACACACCCGTGGAGCCTGAAAAGCTGACTTGCATAACAATATCCTAACGTGAATTACCTTTTCAGTAGGATTACCGTCTCGGGAGGTGATGTTTCTCCTCGTTTCCCAAACTACCCCTGGACCTTCTCATCCTACTAGCCCATTGGAGACTGTTCCACAGAGCTGCCTGGACCCCCCCACAGCATCCACCCTGTGGAAGAAACACAGATTGAGAAACTGTGATGCAGCAGTTAAATTTTCTCTAGACATGAATTGATGACATGGAGAGAGAATAACTCAGGTAGAATAAACCATGATCTAGAGCTGTCACACACAATCTGGGAAGGGAGGGGAGTTGTAGGATTACAGTGCCCCCTCAATATATGTAGGTGTGGCAGACCTGCTGAAGGCACAGTTATTTTGAGAAGACTTTTAAGGAACAAATACAAACAGAGATTTCAAAGGCAGCAATTAGTCAATAATGTGATCACTTAATCTTACAGACGACAACCTTGCCTTGCCTGTTGGAAATGCCTGTATTTTTGCATACTTAGCAGTAATAGGAAGGGGGTGGTTACTTCTGTATTTCTGTAATAAGTAGCTTCATCATACACCATAGAGGGCAAGGTGGTAGAATTCAGGTCTTTTTCTGTCATTAGTGACAGTGAAACTTGTCTGTGTACACCTCTTGAGGGCAAGGTATTCCTTCCAGCATGGAGACTATCTTCTTTGTTTAAAAATTAATTAATTTGATAAATAGTTTTCAATTTATAGCCTCTATATAATGCATCAAATTTCTGTATCAGTAATAAGTAAAGATTATAAATAATCATGCATAAAATTTCATAGCTTCAAAACACAGATCGGTATGAGATTTAAAAGAGGGGTTTTTTTTTCTTTTACTATTTAAAAAAAATTAATTTGCAAAAGAAAAATAAATTCTACTATCTCTTGTTTATGACAAAAGACAATTGAGCAAATCATGACTTCAGATAACTCATAAGTCACTGATTCTGTTTTTCAAAGACCTGCCTGCTTTCTATTCCTTTGGCCTTGGCTGCCTAGCAACCTCCACAGAGCTTTCTTAGTCTATACTAATTCTGGAGAGTTTTCATTTATATATTTATTTATGAGAATGTCTATAAGGAGGATGCAGAAACAAAGAGCTGTTTGTTCCTTCCTTCTAACAGTGGATTCCAAACATGTCATCTCAGTGTCTCAGTGAAGGACACAGTTCTCAGTTTTGCAGAGGTACCTGCCCCCTTGATTTTGCTTGGGAAAAAGCTGTTTCTGTTAGACAAAAGCTTAGTCTCTGTACAAAACTACTGATGTAACAGGCACTGGTATTTCTTGCCCTCCCTGTTGGTTTGATTCATTGATAAGTTTTTTCACCCTGGATTCCTAGGTCCTTATGTAAGGTTACAGTGCTCATGCAGCCTGCAGCTCTTACTTAACATGAAGACAGTTTGTGCTACTGCTCTGGGTCACCAACAGTTCCAGTATCTAGAGGGAAATGGAGACTAAAGCTGATCTGCTGTGTCTGTGACTCAAAGCAGGACAATCTGGAAGGTTTGGATGGGACTGCTTGTTATAATAAGTAGTTTGGAACAGGATATGGACTGTCTTTCCCTGAGCCAGTCATCAGCTTTGCATGGAAAAGACTATTTCCTCAGGGGTTTTTCTGTTGTTTGGAGTTTTTTTTTCCTTCATTATAAGTGCAAAATTGGGGATTTCACAGAAAATATCTCTATGCTACATTAAGAAAATACATATTCTCTTGCCAGTTCTATTCAACCAGCGCTTTGCAAATACTTTATGCCCTTATCAACACAGCAATCTCCTCCAATTGAAAAGAAGGGGAAAAAAAACAAGAGAGGAAGGGATCATCAAATATGTGCCCTGAAAAGCTTAACAGGCTCTCTCAAATGATGTGGCAAAAAAATGCCAGGTATTCGTAGTTTGCAGTCACATGGTGTGGATGCAGGGTTTGTGTCTCACTACTTCCAACCCTGAGCTCCGACAGATGAGGTTGCATTTACTTCTGGATCACACTGAAGCCTGAAACACAACAAATCAATATGTCTTAAGATATCTCAATATACCTTAATCACTTGATTCCATTTTTTTTCTGATTAAGTTGACCTTTAGCTATGTTCTGTCCTTAATGGAAATGCAGGGATTTACGTTCTGTGACAGAACATAAATCTGAAACCAGATCTTCTAACTTCCACTCAATTTCTTACCAACAGGGCTACATACATAAAGATTATGTTGTTGTAAGTTGTAGGATTATGGAAGCATTTTTAAATCTTGGTGTTTACATATACTTATGAATCAGTAAAAAATTACTCCCAATTCAATAGTAGGGAAAGAATACATTTTTAAAAATCTCCTCAATATTGTAAAAGGCAACAAAAATATTGGTATATTGCCTGGGTGGTGTATCGGTATCCAATTAAATAAAATAAAAGTAACAACACAAATGATAGGGATTATTCAAAAATTACCTGCTGGTTAAAATAAAGACATTTTGTAGAGCAACTTACAAACAGTGAAAACACTCCTAGAAACTAAAATAAGCAAAATTATTCAATAAACAGGAGGAAGAAAGTTACTAGAAGTAAACAGAGGCCTAGGATTTCTTTTTTCTATTCATGGACTAACAATAAACAATTTTTCAAGTTCCTTTCCCTCTGTCATTCCACACAGTAATGTAAATTTGTAGTTAGCAGCAAATTTCTCAATCTGTACTCCTCTGAGTTATTGTAATACAAATAAATTCCAAATATAATCCAAAACTAAGTAGTTGCTTATTCAAAATGAGTTTCCATACGTATGTTCATTTTTCACAGAGCATGATTATTATAGCAAAACTTGAGCATGTGGTGTTTCCTCCCCTTACGAAGTATGATCACAATTACATATGTTTTTAAATGTTAAGTCAAACTCTCTGAAAATAAACCTACTGAAGGGTACCAGAACCACAGACTCACATGTCTGTTTTCTCACTTACTTTTGTGAGAAGTCTGCTTTTAATAAGTTCAAGGGCATGTAGATAGACAATAGAGAAAAACTTCTTCATGCATTTTTATTTAAGAAAATGTATAATAGGGTTTTCTACAGAATGAATAAAGTTGAACCATGCTAAAGCAGCTAGAAAAGGAAATTCAATGAGAGAAAATGAACTTTCCCAGGGCATATGGAAAAAAAAAATTTCCATGCAGCCCCATTCAAAATTTCAGAGACTATAATTAGGTACTAAATCTACTACATTTAGACTGGAAACCCTCACCTGCCATGCATTTATGCTCCCAAAAGAAGAGAATACTAAAAAGAGATGGAATCCTCCCTCCCTCCCTTCCTCAAGAAAGAGATTCAAAATGCCTTCAGTTTCTGGATATGGACTACAGAAAAATAAAATGCTAGGGAGGGTGTGGGGAAAAGTAATTACAAAGTAAATGAAGCTTTAGTGGGAAAAAGAGAACAAGAAAATTATCATCAACATGAAAGTGTAATCTTTGCTTGAATAACTAACTCACCAAAGAGAATTGCAAGAAACCTTTTCAAAACAATCAATATTATTATTCCAACACTCATCTAATTTCAAGTGCACTGTATTTACTTCAGACTTAGGCCAGTAACTGATCAAAATTTGGTCTAAAATATTTAAATATTTTCTGACAATTCATTATGCAATAAGTAAGAAAAACTCATTGAAGTTATAACTGGGCTTTAGTCATTGTTCTCAAAGCAGCTATATTTTTACAGATTGCAAATGGATGAAAAAATCTGCAGTAAAAAGAATATTTATAATGAAAGACTAAACATAGTGACATATGCTACCATGATGATAGTAAAGAACATAAATAAGCAGAAGAGAAAAAACAGTTACCCAGTTCCTGCTATTTTTAATAAATACCACTAACAGGGTAACATTCAACTGCCAAAAGAAAGGAGGTTGTTATACTCTGTTACTACGTCTGGCCCTGAGCTGCCATTCCAGAAGAGCACAAGTTTCTTGTAGATTCAAGGCCTTGTCTGCCTGCTCCTGAAGTCTTGGGTAGGCTAGGATGTGTGAAATAGCATTAAATTCTGTTATTTATGAATCTGAGTCACTTGCAAGCTGTTAGTAGAAATGTGTGTGAGCGCTGGTTACATACATGTTAAATAACAAGAGTAAAATCAATAAAACAGAAAATCATAGTGTGCTATGCCCACATAGGACTTTAACCTCAGGATACAAAGAGAAAATACTAGAAAGCTCCTTAAAGAATGGTGTGTGTACACAAATTCTATACTAGCAGTAAATATGAAGAATTTAGAGCTAAATCTCACCTCTGACTGCTGACTCACTGTGCAGTAACACAAGCTAATGGTGCTTCCTTGATGGTTCAAAAAGTTGTTCTTGCTAGCTTTTATTCCCTTCAGTTTTTGACATATTCTGCCATTTCAGAGCTCTATTTTATTTAACATGTTTAAAAGAGCAGAACTTCTTTAGACTTCAGAATCTGCCAAACCTCCAAAACTGTGATTATTTATGGCCAAGGTCATAACTACATTTTTTCCTGATATTTTATCTTAGTTAAACCCTGAGTAAGAATTATTCTCTTGCATAAAACCTGTACTTTCTATATATACTGCACTTCTCCTTTTTCTTCTTTCAAGAATGCCAGATGGAAGCAAACCAAAGAATAGTTGTATGCCTGGTATGCTAATTATTTTAATATTTCTGCATTTGAGTTTAGCAGATGAGGGTGAGGTAATTCTGCATGGTTATCTCTCCAAAACCAATTCAAATAAGGTGCACATTCTAAATTCTAAAATAATTTTCTCTCTGATCTGCCGCAGCAAAGATATTCACTCATACACTATTGATTGGAAATGTTTTTGTACATCTAATCAATAAACGAGTTAATATGTGTTAAACCAATCTTCTCGACTATTTGTCTTGCTCAGCCTAACTAATACCAAGCTGTGAGTGATTCATTTCAGAGCAGCAGTACAGTGTGAAAACCAGACTGGTGTCTTTTTAATGTGAGTGTCTGTGTGTGCTTACAAACACAAAATGTCATTAAAAATATTTTCCCCTGACAATATTTCCCCCATTTTAAGATCAGTTCTATTGACTCTTAATAATGGTCTCCAGATACTCATCTGACAAATGGCTGTTTAATTTATTTTTTACTGTGAAAGATTTGACCTGGTTTGTTC